TTGACTCTGCTCTTACCCAGTGTGCATAGCAGAGATCAGGTGCCAGAGTGCTCTCTCCGAGGTCATGCACGAGGAAACCTGGGTTTATGCCATAGTATTCCAAACCCCTGAATATTTAGGTTGGTGCTCAGAGCAGGCCCTGGCTCACTCAGGCATACCCCTGCTGGTCCCACATGCCCCCATGCTTCCACAGCAGCAGCATCTTGGAGACAAAGCAACCCCCGCCTGGCTGCTGTCATTTTAAGGTTGTCTTCGCAGAGAGATCCACATACAAAGCAATGCACCTGCTCAAAGCTCTCAGCTTGAAGAGATTTAGAATTAGCTGTACCCATGTCAATAGGGCCTTCAGTTCCAAAGGCTGTCTTGGGAACCTCCCTAGAAAGCTAGTTCATTTATTCTCCTTCACCTTCTGTCCCAGGAGGCCACTGACTTGCTGTCATAGGAAAGGAGACTTGTTTTTCCTAAAGTTTCATATAAGTGGGATCACAGAGATGTATTTTCTTGTGCCTGGATTCTTTAGCTTAGCCACTAGGCTGGCCTCAAACTCCTGGACTGAACTGATCCTTCTGTCTCAGCTTCCTGAGTTAACTGGGATTCCTGTTGCATGTCCCCATGTCCTGCTTCCCACAGAGTTTATCACATTTCTAGTCTTTATAAATTAGAGGGTTATATTCTAGTGTGTGGACTTCATCAGGCGATTAGGTTTAGGACCACGAATTCTGATCTTAATAACCTTTTGCCAATATGTTGCTAGACGGTGCTGCCACAGCTTTTGGAACCAGCTGCAGCGATGAAAAAGATACAGACAGTGCACTGACATTTTAGTTTTATCTTGAGTGTGTGATACTAGTCTTTCTCTCCGTGTGTGTGTGTGTGTGTGTGTGTGCACTCACGTATGTGTACAGAAACATGAGCATATGTATGTATACCTGTGGAGGCCAGGGGTCAACCTTAGATGTAGTTCTTCAGGCTCTATCCAACTTGCTTTTTGAGTCAGGGTCTCTCTTTCCACTGAGGTTCACCATTAATTTAGAGCCGGCTGAGTAGTGAGCCCCAAAGATCCACATGTCTCAGTCTCTGAGATTTTTGGGATCAGATTCAGGCCCTCATGCTTATGTGGCAATTACTTTATTGACTGAGCTATTTCCCCAGCCCACAATATTAATCTTAATAAAATTTAATCTTATATTAAAATCTAACATTTAAGAAATGTTTATTTCACAAAAGGTCATTTACTAAGCTTTATGAATACATTTTCATTTTATTTAATACTGAAGTACATTTTGAAGAGCTCAAGATGATCAGATTGCCCTCCTGGTATGCTAAACGTTAATTACTTGGTTTTCCATAAACTGTCTAGTGGACCTGCTGGGGAGTGATTACTAGTTAAATAAGACAGTCTTAGCTTATTAAGTTGATAATGAAAAGAAACCTCTTTTTATTTCTCTGCTCGCTCCTCTTCCCCTCTCTCTTGCCTTCCTTCTTCCTTTTTAATAAAGTTTATAATCTGATATTCTAATCTCGTGATTTGAACAAAGGGGGTAGTTTTTAAAGGGTACAGCAGGTGGCGCTCTTACCAAGCCAAAAGGAGTCTTGCTTTGCATGTTTCTGGGTGGTTTCCCCTCTTCTGTTAACCTTTCCTCAAACACATTTGTTGTGATGACTAAAATCCATTTTGTTCTTGATTATTAGAGCAATACATGTGCTTGCTAAACTTTTAAGACATACATAGAAGGACTAATAGAGCATATTTTTGAAGCCCCTTGCTAGTCCCAGGAGAAGGCTATAACAATTCAGCATACAATGAATCTTCCAGGTCTTTTCTTAGCTTAGACAAAACAACGACTATATATCTAAATAAGAAATTAAATTTTGCAAAATTTTAGACTTTAACATAATTGGAAACAATATGCCTGTCTTCTGCTATTTGATCTCTTAGCTACCACCCCCTACCCCGCCCCCTTGAGCGTTGACATTTTCACAAGTTGTGTCTTGCAGAGTCGAGGGGTCTTTCACAACTGGGCTGAATCAGGGATTGTGGTCTGGTGGCAGAAGCTGGACTCTCATGAGGTCATTGTTGTGGCCTGAAAGTTTGTGTTCTCCTCAAATACGTATATTAAAATATAGTTGCCAGTGTGCTGGCATCAAGAGGCGGGGCATTTTGGGAGGTTCTAATGGCGGAAGGGATCAGTGCCTTATGCATGTGTCTTTCATCCTCTGCCATGTGCCCAGTGCCCAGGCAGTGGGCCCTGAGCAGACACCCAATCTGCCTGTTGACTGTGAGGGATCGCCTTCTGTCTTTTATGCCCCCTTCCCCTGGTCTAAAGTGTTTTGTCACAGCAGTCCAAGTTGACTAGGAGGGATGCTGTGCTAACTGCATCTCTTGCCAGTGAGAATACAAATTCCAGACTTCCATTGCCAAGTGGAGACTGGAGAATACCCCACAAAGATATTGTGAAAAAACTGGTTGTGACTTGGAACCTGCTGCCATTCCATTAAGTCCTGGCCATTGGAGCCTCGGTGGGAGAATTTGTGAAATCACCAATATATTTTAGCCAGCGGACTTCCCTTAGTATAACCCTGTAGGCATCTGATATTGCCTGAGAGCAAAGAACAGCAAATAGCATTTTAATCTCGATATTTTAAGTACTTTGACCACAGTCACTTCCATGGCCTTCTCCCATCGTCACTTCCCTCCTTCTGCCAAGATAGCTTTGTACTATTTAGGTTAGGGTTAGAGTTAGGTTCAGTGTTGGGAAGAGTTAGGGTTGGGTTGAGTAATATAAGGGTTAGGATTGTCCTTGGAGGTCATGTTATGCCACTTCCTTCCACAGGAGGTGAGGATAACTGGGATCATTGTGGAGGCCATCTCAAGAAGTAACCAAAGTATAGACAACAGTTAAAAACATAGGACTATGTGAGAGTAACCAGGGAATAAGAATAGAGGGAAGATGGGAGGATGGAGCCCAAGGTTCATAGACAAAAACCTAAGAGGAGGCTTCCAGTGGGAGTGATGTCTCTGAGCCATATTGCAGAGATGGTGGCATTTCCAAAACAAGGGAAGTCTAAAAAACCAAGATATCCTGGGAATGACCATTAGGTTTGCATTTGATCATACCCCCTTTAAAATCCTTCAAGTCTGTCGTCACTCAGATGTTCAGATGTAACTATAAGGGAAACATATTGCTTAAAGCAATAACTATTTATAAGCATTGTGGAAGACCACAGCAGTGACATCATTTGTCACTCGGGACTGAGGATCTTGCTCAGGAACAGACCTAGGGCATCTCTTAGGGTCTGAAAGGTCAAGCTCATCCATGACAGGTGTTGGAAGAGGATACCTAAACATAGAGACGAGTGCATACTAGAGGGAGACAAACAGAGGACCCAAAGCCACTAGAAACACTTAGAGGAAGGTGACTTCAGGAAGCAAACCAGACAAAAACTGGAGTAACCCTCTGAGGTCTTTCTCAGCTGTAGAAATCTCCCAGCTTCCTCTCTCCTCTGCCCACTTCTTTCCCCGGGCTTCTCCATCCCATTTTGGTTCCAAATAGTGGACACTAATGGGACCCACACTGAGCACTTTGAGATTGAGTGCACAGCTCAGTAGTAGAGCAGTTACATAGCATACTGAGGTCCTGGGTTTGATCCTGGGCATTGCAACAAAGAAAAAGAAAGAAAACGCCCTATGCCTTTCTCTGCCTCAACTGGGTGCTGCCTCGGGACACCACTTTCTAGGTTCCTGTTGATTTATGTAGCCCGCCTCATTTAATCTTCACAAAACTGGAGGCTGGAGAGGTGGAAAGAGAACCTTTGCTCTGCAAGCATGTGCAATTGAGTTAGAATCCCCAACACACACACAGTAATCAGGGCGGACATATGATCCCAGCGTTGTGAGCCAAACATATGACCCCAGTGTCGTGAGCCAGACATATGACCCCAGTGTCGTGAGCCAGACATATGATCCCAGTGTCGTGAGCCAGACATATGACTCAGCATTATGAGTCAGACATATAACCCAGTGTTGTGAGCCAGAGAACTCCCTGGCCAGCCCACCTAGCTTCCAGTTCAGTGAGAGAGCCCGTCTCAAGGGGGAGAGCGCTAGAGGGAGGAGCCCAATGTTCTGCTCTGGCCTGCACATACATGGCCGAGGATGTGTGCACCTGCAAGGTAATGAGCATGTGACACACATGTGGAGACAGGCATGCAGAGAGAAGTTACTCAAGATGAAGGAACAGAACGGGGACTTGAACCCAGTCTGACTTTGGAATCCTGGGTCTTCCTCACTGATTTACCCTTGCTTTCTTTCGGGACCTTTGGATTTGACAACCTAGATCAATGCACTATCTACTCCGGTTTAGACTCTGGTTATCTTCTATCTCAGAGCTTGCTTGACTTCTGTCATTGGCCTTGGCCCTGAATCACTCTCATAAAGCCCTACCCTCAGCCTCACCACTGCCAGATAGGAGAAAGGAGGACCAAGCGAGGCAGGTCTCCACCCTTGGATACTGTTACATGCACACGCTCTGTTCCTTTCTCTCTCCACTGCCTGGTTGGTTTCTGAATGAAACATTTAGTTGCCCCTAAATAACTTGACCCCTTCTTCCCCCATGCGTCCTTGGAACTTCTGTCAGCCCTCTGACAAGGTGTCACCACGCCTTGTAGATGTCTACCTCTGTCCTCAGACAAGGACCAAGGCTTGTTTATCATTGGTTCTCCTGTCTTCCATTCTATAGGGACTCATGAATGGAATTAAGTGTACAGGGATTCATTGACTGTATGAAATGAGGCCCTAGAAAATGAATAGAACAAGTCTCCTATAGTGGAAAACACAAAATTTCAGTGACCTCGATGGGCTGGCCCAGAGGACAGCCCCTTAAAATAATCTTAATCTCCAACCTCATTTTTTCGGTCTGAGTGCTTATGTACTTTATTATCAATATCTTGATAGCTTGTGTCTATGTCCTTGGCATTATTATTGTAATCAAGGAGGCACACACTTCACTTTACCAGTAGTCTTTAATCAAAGTTAGCTCTGTGAAAACAATGCTATTCCCTCAAAGTTCTCGGATTAAACAAATGATCCAGGTGACCAGAAAAGAAAACCATGTGGAAAGACTCCTTCAGGCCCAGGAAGGTGTAAGATGATTTGGGTTTACAATGAAGATCAATCATCATAGCAACAAGGACTAGTAATTGGTATCATTTCAGACATACTATCAAGATGCAATGTGAACAGAGAATCCAAAGAAGGGGAAACCACCAAAACAGATACTGAATTGACAGAGCATATGGAAGCTATGGAAGCAAGACTTTCTAGTTGCAAATTTTGTGTTCCCGAGGAGCCATGTGAGGCCTTATATTGCTTCTTCAAGTTCCTGAACTTGAGATGAGACCACTTCACCATTCACTATCTCCTGCACAACTGTCTTGATTTTTCGAGTTTTATTTGGGTCTAAAAGTAAAAACAGAGAAAAGGGGGGTAATGATTATTAAGAACCAATTATCAACCCAAAGTTTATTCTTGTTCATCTTAAGCTTTTCATCAAATTTAGGCTCTCAGAAGTGACTTCCATTCCAAACCAAGTTGTTTTTTTTCCCCAGACAGTTTTTCTCTGTGGCTTTGGAACTAGTTCTTATAGACCAGGCTGGTCTTGAACTCACAGAGATCCACCTGCCTCTGTCTCCCTGAGTGTTGGGATTAAAGGCATGCACTACCACAAACTAAAATAGTTTTATTCAGTGGAAATGAAAATTCATTCAATACTGTCCTGTGCACAAATCAAAATACTCAATCTCTCCTTCCATCTCTCTGTTCCCCTCATCCTTTCTTTTTCCTTCAGCTCAAGGTTTTGCTGGCCTAGATCTCATTATCCTCCTTTTTTTGTCTTCCAAGAGCTGGGATGGCTGGCAAGCACCACCAGGCCTGGAATATTCTAAAACATCTCAGAAGTGTGTGTGATACTCAACACACCTTCTGGGAACACAATTTCCCTTGCTCAGCCTGCTGAGAGTTTTAATACACCACCCACTGCTCACCTTGCTTCAGGAGAGACACTGTCGTGTCCTCTGCTCAGAACAGAAATACATCATAAGTTAATTACGCTCAACACTTAATGAGATCTTACAGGTTAGTCATTAAAAGTGGGATTCTGGTTTATTTTTAATGATCATCTCCATACCTTTAGAGGAATCGACTGATGGTGTCTGAGGTTTGGAGACAGTGAGGGATACACTTTCATCAAAACCATCCCTGTAAAGAAAACAAAGGCTGGGCTCGCAGGATTGCTGGGTAAGGAGTATCTGCTGTCTGAGTTTAAACATTAGGAATGCCTATACAACCACAGCGAGAAATAGAGATGCTATTGCAAATTTCTTGGCTGAATGATGCACCACAAGGATAACCAATTGGGTCAACACACATTTGTTTCTGAACCGCCTACAATGGGCACAGAGGGGAGGCAGCTTGGTCTCAGAAACCAGCTTTCTTAATTTACAACTTGGAGCATTCTTCCCTCCACCCTGGGCTGCTACTGTTTATGGCAGGCTGGCTACTGTGGGATGCAGGTGGTCCAGATGGCTGCTATTGAGGCATCATCCCTAGCATCGGGTCATCAGATGGTTCTTCTAGAACATGTAAGTGTTCATTTATTAATTTTATTAATTAGTATCAAGTAATATAGTGGCTAGATACATTTTGTATAGTATTTAATAAATTTCAGGCATGCGTTTTCCTAGATTTCTTGTTTTATCCTTTCTTCCTCCTCTTTTTTTAAAAAAAATCTTTGTGTATTATGTGTGTGCATGATGTATGTGCGTGCATGTTCATGTGTATAAATATAAAGATGTATTTGCAGCTTCACACATGGATGTCAGAGACATCCCAGGTTGGTCCTGGACTACACCTTGTTTGAGACACACTGGGCCACAAACTTCTGGGGATATTCCTGTCTCCACCTTCCAACTTCAGTAGGAGAGATGAGATTAGAAGTTTATGTGGGTTTTGGGATTCTGGACTCAGTTCTTCACATTTACAAACTCTTTTCCCTCTGAGTTACTCCCCAGCCCACCTCTTTTCCCTGGGGGACTGTCTGACTATGAAGATGTAGTCCAGGTTGGTCTAGAACTTGGGCTCCTGCTGCCTCAGCCTTCTGTGTGTTGGGATTACTGGCAAGATTTACTCTATGTTTAATCTACTACAGACCTCTTCTTCCATTGCAGAAAAAACAGTCTGCATCAGGAGTCTACTGCCCATCAGTCACTGAGATATTTCCAATCTCACTGTCTGTCTGCTCACCCTTGGGCCTCTCCATCCAGCAGCCGGCGGTAGGTCTCAATCTCCATCTCCAGGCGGGCCTTGACGCCCAGCAGCCGCTGGTGGTCGGCATTCTGGCGCTCTGCATCTGCCCGTAGCTGTTGGAGTTGCTCCTCCAGGCTGCCTATAAGCTGTTGCACCTGAGACAGCTGGCAGCAGTAACCACCCTCGGTTTCAGCCAGTGAGTTTTCCAGGGACTTTTTCTGCAAAGGAGAGAGAGACAGAGCAACGTCGGGGTCTGCAAACAAGAGGGCAGTCCACGGTCCAGCATACTATGGTTGCAACATTTTCTTTGGAAGTTAAAGGATGCCGCGTTTCGCTCCGCGTGTTGCCCTACCATGGCGAGCTGGGACTGGAGTTCAATCTCCAGGTTCTGCACCATGCGCCTCAGGTCGGTGATCTCGCTCTTGCTGGATTGAAGCTGCTCCGTGTTGCTGCTGATCTCTTTCCTGAGCTCTCCGCTCTGCAACAGCCAAGTGGGTGGATGGGTGAGCTCTGTGCTGGCGCAAAGGGCTTTCTGGGAATGTACTGAATTTGTCTTGTGTCACCTTTTCAAGGAACCAGGCTTCTGCGTCTTTCCGGTTTTGGTCAGCCATGGCTTCATACTGGGCCCTCATTTCATTGAGGACCTTGGTGAGGTCCACTCCAGGTGCAGCATCCATTTCTACATTGACATCGCCTGGCCCACCTGCCTGGAAACTTTGGAGTTCCTAGGGACAGCAGCAGAGAGCAAAGGATGTAGGCGTTCACATAATTAGTGCCCCCAGGTACTTTTGCCTTCTAGGGTCTTTTCACCCATGATAATAACAAGATTATAATTTCGACTGAGTTGGTATAAAAGCAAAATACTAATGCAAGACATCAACATAGTTTTTTTTAGCTTGAAAACCTATTTTTCTTCTAATAAAAAAAACCAGAAACCAAGATATTTTCACAGATTTCTTGAATGACAAAGGACTCCATGGTCAGTGCCAGTGGTTGCTGACTCTGCCTCTAGAACACCCTCTTCCTGTACTTTACAGAAAGGAAAAGGACCTGGTGCAGGTTGCTCCAGCAACTGCTGCAAAGCTAGGACTGTAATTGATACCTGGACTTATACACTGTTTCACACCACAGCAGAAGCTTCCTTAGAAGCCTGTTGCCTGCATCCCTTCCTTCTTTCCATGCCCCAGCCTCTGATACCCATGTCAGAATTCCTTGTGATGCCTTATAGTGGTTATATTTCTCTAGCATATGTGGCATGCGTATTATCTGCAGGCTTTTGTTTTAGCTTTAAAAATACCCCGTACTTAAAGAAAATAGTTAATGAAGATAATTAAAATTCCTGCCATTGCTGGGTGGTGGTAATGCACTCAGGAGGCAGAGGCAGGTGGATTTCTGAGTTCAAGGCCAGCCTTACCTACAGAGTTCCAGGACAGCAACAACTAAACAGAGAAACCCTGTCTTGAAAGACAAACAAAAAGTCCTGCCATTACTTAATAATGGAAAGAACAAAGTCAGAATACTCTTTGCCATCCTGAGTCAAATACTCTAATCTAGCAAACCTTAGCAAAGAGTACCATAACACATGCACACACAGAGGGGAGAGAGGGTGGGGTGGGGGCTGGGGTGCAATGCAAGACCACCAAAACTAATAGTCATTTTAACACAGAGATAGTACATTCTATAGCTTTTTAAATCCAATATTGTAATTTTTGGATCTGGGAGAAAAAAGTAAAGCCATTTCTGACCTCCTCATGGTTCTTCTTCATATGGGCCAGCTCCTCAGTCAGGTTCTCTGCCTGCGCCTCCAGGTCAGCTCTGGCCAGGGTCAGCTCGTCCAGCACCCTGCGCAGCCCGTTGATGTCGGCCTCCACGGTCTGGCGCAGGGCCAGCTCATTCTCATACCTGAAAACCAAGTGGCAACAGATTAGGAAGTCAACATTAACACACCATTGCCATGCGGCCTTGGCCATCTTCAGGGCTATTTGATGCATGGATCTGTGTACATGGAGAGCCAGACGCAGTGGTGTCTGCCTGTAATCCCAGTACTTGGGAAGTGGAGACAGGAGGAGCATGAGTTCAAGGTCATTGTCAGCTGCATAGTGAGTTCTAGACCAGCCTGAGATGCACGAGACCATGAAAAAAAAGAGGAAAAATAATACATTAAGAGTGTATGAAGCAATTTTTGATTTTGTGACTTTACTTCTGTGTCTATGTATGATTGCTTCCTGCCCATTTGGAGAGAAGGGAAGAAAATGAAGAAATAATGAGGCAATAACCTTCTACCAACAGTGAACTCTAGAAGGTTCCTTGTGGTTTGACTCTAAGATAGCCTAAAGCTAGCTGGTGATAAGCTAATAGCTTCTCTTTTTTTCTTTTTTGTGGGTAGTTTTAAACCTTGATACTTCATTAGTAGCTTTTTCTGGGTCTTTACAGGTTCTGGACTATTGTCATTACAACTTCCTGTGGGGACATTTTGTAATACAGAAAGGAAATTAGGAGGGTAGGGTATGGGAAAGAAACTGGGATATAAAAATAAATGCATGGTTAAGCTTTCCATTGTATGTGTCATCAGGGAACAATCACTCCGTTTTAACCCCTTGGCAAAAATATTATTAGTTCATTTTGATACATTGAAAATTCAGGTTTAAACGTAGACACAATTATCATATTGAATCATGAGTCATTACGAAGAGATGATCCATAGCTCCGGGTGGCAGCAACCTAAATTTTAAAGCTGTATAAAGTGAACTGTCTGGCTTTCGATGGTTCTTTAAGTGTGTGTGGATTTAAGAGAGCCCTGGAGGTGAGGGGTTTGTGGGCTTGAGGAGAGCTGACTCCTTTGGGAAGCAGGAAGTGGGGAGTGGGGGGAGGAAGGAGTTATCTGTCATCGGTGTCCCAGACTCACTTCACCCGGAAGTCCTCAGCAGCCAGCCTTGCGTTGTCAATCTGCAGGATGACCTGGGCATTCCCAACGCTGGCAGAAATGATCTGGAAGAAAAGAGGGAGACGCTGTAGTTCCCAAATGTCATTTTGGACATTAGGAGTAAATGGCCATGCTAAATAAATCTTTTCTTCCTCCATTCAGACTCTATTTTTAAATCACTTTCCTCTGAGCTTTTCAAGGAGTAAGTTTCTATACAGCTTTTCCTGCATCCTTAGTGTCGACTGCTCTTCTGTCCTCACCCCTACCTTCCTCTCCACCTCCACCTCATCCTTGTTTGAAGCTTTTCATGCCGGCCCGTATTGCCCCCCTGCTTTCCCTCGGCCTATGATTTATTACCTCCCCCTTAAGTTTCTCCTCCCTGTGGCTCCTCTCTTGCTTTCTGCCTGGGCAGGCACCCAGTTCAACTCAAACATAGAAATCTCAGCATCCAAAACCGAGAATCTGCATCAGAAACACAGCAGAGTGCATTTGCCTTTCTGGGCTTGGATTACCTCACCCAGTGTCCTGGTCTCCAGTTCCGTTTTCCTAAGGCAAAGGCTGTAGATGCAGCTCAGTGAGAGAACACTTGGTCACATGCCTGAAGCCCTGCTTTTTCTCCCCAGCACCACAACAAAACAAAAATCCCCAAAGGGTTTAAGACAGCTTCTTTTTTTTTTTTTTGGTTTTACGAGACAGGGTTTCTCTGTATTGTTTTGTAGGCTGTCGGTCCAGCCTGGCCTCAAATTCACAGAGATCCGCCTGTCTCTGCCTCCCGAGTGCTGGGATTAAAGGCGTGTGCCACCCCTGCCCGGCTGACAGCTTCATTTTAAAAGAAAAGTTATTGATAAAATAATGTCAAAAGTTAAGAAATGTACATTTCAGGAAGACTATGGAAATACAGTCATTTTTATCATGAATGGGAGCTGCCCTTCTTGGGAGGAGAAAATTCTCTAAGTACAATCTAGTTTTAAAAAAACTAAGTTAATTTATTAATATAAAATATTGTAATAATATAACAAAGGTTTCTAAAACCCTTCCACTTACCTTATTCTTTAAGTCTTCAATCAGTGGGTAATATTTACTGTAATCACTCTGGGGCCCAGAGTCTCCAGTCCGTCGTGTTTCGTACCACTCTCGAATTTTGTTTTCCAGTTCCGCATTAGCCTCCTCTAGAGCATGGACCTTACCCAGGTAGGAAGCTAGTCTATCATTCAGATTTTGCATGGTTTCTTTTTCAGAACCAGAAAGAAGCCCTCCATCATTGTTAGAGAGGACACACAGAGAGCCACCACCCGAGCTTCCCCCTATTCCCAGTCCTCCCAAGCTACCTCCCAGAGGTCCCCCATAGGCAGTGCCAAGTCCTGGTAAGGAGCATGTAGAGCCACCACTAAAGCCAGAGCCACAGCCAAACATGGAAGCAGCAGAAATGAGGCCCCTACAGCCAACTCCAAAGCCGGAGGCCATCCCTCCATAGCCGCCTGCAACACTGGAAGCAGATGCGCCCCAAGGTCTTGCTGCCGTCCCATTCTGAGAGGACGACCTCCTGGACAGTCCAGAGGTGCAGACCGAGAGTGACATGGCCTTGCTGGAGAGGGAGCTTGGCAAGGTGGTGACCCCAGAGAGGAGACAGTGCTGATCTACCAGAAGGGTCACGGCTTTATAGACTGTGAGGTGGGCGTTGCAGTTGAAGAGTTCACTCTGCATTCCAACGAGGATGCCCACCCCTACCCCAGCTGGCCAGCTCAGTGAGGAGGTGATTTATGCATCATGAAAATTCACTGATGTAGCTATAATTGAATAATCATTTCCAGTAGACATCTGTCACACAAGTAAGAAGGCTGGGTGGGGCAGTTACACTGTCGTTAGGGATCTGTCACCCTCAAGTGTTTCCTCGCCTATATCCTCAGCACTGCCAGAGTCTCCCAGACACGAGGAAAAGAACAGATGGAATGCCAAGGAACCCTTCGGAAGCCTCATGCTTCCTGAAGAGCCTCCCTCCTCTTTGTCTATTTCCCTTGGAAACACTTTTTATCCCAGCCAATCAGGCTTGTAGCTCTTTCCGTAGAAACCGTTTCAGAGGCAGACGAGGAGTGCCTTAGTGGAAGGTGGGAGCAAATAAATTTTCTGGGTAGATACTAGAATTTTAGTTTTCAAGATTCTAAAAAAATTTTTGCTGTTAGGGTGCTTCATGGTTCTTGGTTTTTTGACTTTGGAAAGCAGAACAGTTAAACATGGCAAAGTGCTGTTTGGAAGTTGGATGTTAGAGTTACATCAGAAGTGTCCTTAGAAACCAGGACACTGGGGCTTTTGGCTGAATGTTCACTGCTATTCCTTCAACAGCATTGCCCTTGGGAATTTTGGAATAAATGTGTTAACTTGATGGATTGTGTGTCAGCCTTTCACCATTACCAGTACTTACAAAGAAAAAAACCAACACGGTCCAAAATAAGAAATGATTACAATTCTACACTTAAGAAGCCAGTGAGCCTTTCCAGTTGATGGCTCTGATGAGGAGGGGTGCAGTTTTGCAGCATAGAACAACTCACGGAAGTCTGTCTTACTAAATTTATGTGAAAGCTTTGGGAAGCACATCCTAAGAATTTTATCCAGGGGTTGGGGACATGGCTCAGTGTTTAAGAACACTTGCTATGCTCCCAGAGGACCGGGGTTCAATTCCCCGCACTTACATGGTTGCTCACAGTCACGAAGAACAAGCGGGGCTTCCAAGCACGAGGTTTGCAGAAGTCACCCACTTACTGCGAACATCAGAAGTTGTCCACTTACTGCGAACATCAGAAGTTGTCCATTTACTGCGAACATCAGAAGTTGTCCACTTACTGCGAACATCAGAAGTTACCCACTTACTGCGAACGCAGGATGGGCAGCAATCTCAGGCAGACAAAGTTTGATGAGAGAGTCTGCAACCCACCAGCTTCATCTGTTGGGAGAACGCAAAGTTGTTAATTGGGAATGACAAGAAACGCAGCCCCAGATGGAGGCCTTTCACCAAGACTCTCTCCAAGCTATGTCCCAGGTTTGTTGGCTGAGCTCGTCCTTGTTTGGGCTGTTATCAGTTCTCATGTTCTTGCTGTTGTTCAGACACTGAACCAAGCAAGCAGGTCACAGACTTCTTCAGAGGGCTTTCATGGTGGTACTTTCATTCCATTATACAACTGAGCCATCTCAAGGTCGGGACATTGACTTATTTAGGGCAGAGGCAGAATTTGAATCTGCAGTGTGTTCTACAGACAGGGCAACACTGCTGCTGCTCTCTGTGAAACTGGAAAGGACACGAGATGACTCTGGCCTCCCTAATTGTGGATTGCAGTTCTCTGGCTCCATCCTTCCTGAAACTTCTAAGGGTGTAGCCAAGACCCACAAAATGATTTTCCACAGCTTATGATAAATGACACCATGTGAAATTCTGCCAACACATAGGCAAATGTGTCTTTAGTTTGAATCTTGTTCTCTGGCGTCATGTCCTGATATATTATAAAGTGTAAGTGAGCCGACATTGTGGTTAACCATTACTCACAAGCAACACTCACCCAAGGCCGAGGGGCTCCATCTATCACGATAGAAATAAAAGAGGCTGCTATTTGCTTACAGAGTCAAAAGGGATGCACCCAAACCAAAACCACCACTTAGCAGTTGTGAGCACATAATAGTGTGACATGAATGACATGTGCTTTTGAACTTGGAACCAATTTTGTGCTGAAGTGTATGATTCGCATCTTTAATGCTTATATGTGTATTTTAAATAGTTTTTCTCCATATCCACACATTAAGCTTTCATAATACACATTTAATGTTTCTACACATGTGTTCTCCTGAACCACAAGCTTCTTAAGCAGAGATCAGGCATCTAATTGATCTTTTATCCTGAGGCCCAGCCTATTTTATGGCTAAAAACCTTCATGCTGTACCCAGCATGTCTGAAAGAACTTATTTGTAGTTTGTTTAACCGTGTCAATGAAAATGCACTGCTTTGGCTTTCTGGAATACTTGACTAAAACTTAATTCTGAACTCAAGTAGGAGGGGATAACTTTGGAAGTTGGGAAGAGCCATAGTTCTTCTTCAATGCCTGTTCTTGAAGTCAGGATGCTGTGCTCATCAGCCCCCTCCTCCATGGCGAGGCCTGTTAGCTCAGTTGGTTGGAGGTTGGTAGCAGTTATCAGTTTCTGTGGTTGAGGGTTTATAGGTGACCGTAATTGTCTCTGACAGCCATGTAGACGGGTAAAAAGGTGGGGATGCTTCAAGAAAGAACAACCCTGGGCTTGTTGGTGAAGTGATTGCATAAGCTGAGGCACAGAGAGAAAGGACCAGGGTTAGCGTGAGTTGCTAATAAGAATTAAGGTTCCACTGGGTGTGGTGGCCAATGTTCCTATTAACAGCACTTGAGAGGCTGAGTCAGGAGGATCATAGGTTGGAGTTCAGCCTAGGGTACACAGGAAACTGAGAGAAGGAGACATATAGAGTGAGAGGAAGGAAGGGAGGGAGGGAGGAGAGAGAGAGAGAGAGAGAGAGAGAGAGAGAGAGAGAGAGAGAGAGAGAGAGAGAGAGAGAGAAAGAAAGAAAGAATTATGTCTTCTTGAATTGGTGCACAGTACCTGCCTAGCATGCATGCATAAGACCATGGATTTGATCCACAGTACTGCAAAAATGTGTGTGTGTGTGCATAATATTATACACACACATATATGTGTGTCTTATATAGCTTCAGTTTTTGCACAGCTTAGGGAATATTCAACATGGGGAAAATTATGTCCTGTTTTATAAATCTTTAGATTTTTATTAAGCACATGCTCACCATCTCCACCGTGGCTTGGTCATTTAGTTCCCTGATTAAGTTCCCCTGTGCTATTTGTACCTGAATCCACTTCCTGCAAATTAGACTCACACTTGCTCTAGTTCATTGGTCATTTTCACTGTGACACCTCTTGCTGTACATTGCATTTTGAAACCCCATGAACAAGTGAAGAAATGGGGTTGCTTGTGCTGTATATTGTGCTTCTGGGCTAGGATGAGCATGAATTCCAAAGGTTGTGGATGAGGCTGAGTTTTGTACCCCAGAGCTCAGTTGTTCTGGGAAGCAAGGGAGGACTCTGGAGGAGCAGTGGGTGGGGAGAGGAATAAATGAAGTAGGGCCCTGATGCAGCGACTTTTTAACGAGTTCAGAGAAGAGAAATCAAATGTTGGCAGGAGAATTGACACAGAAAATCACCAGCCAACGTTTATGCTAGAGCTGTTGTTTGGGGAATGTAGTTAAATATCTGGGGCTGACCCCTAATAAGTAACGGGGAGGGCAGAAGGTCTGCAGGCCATGTCACTGGGCTTGACATTTGTTTTGTTTTTCGAGACAGGGTTTCTCTGTGTAGCTTTGGAGCTTGCTCTGTAGACCAGGCTGGCTTCGAACTCATGACATCCTCCTGTCTCTGCCTCCCAACTGCTGGGATTAAAGGTGAGCACCACCACCATCCCGCCAACTGTGCCTGATGCTAATTCGGACCTCCGATACTGTGTCATCCTATATTTCAGAGGGACCAGCTTCCTTTGGGCTTGTGTACCCATGGCAGGAACACACTGTTTGGTTCTAAGCCTGTATGCAAACAGACACAGAGATGAATACTTACTTCACAATTACTGGCAGAACTGGAAGGAGGAACTGACCATCTGGTTCTACATGTACATGTGGTCTCCTTTTGTTTTCTCTGAAAGATTATTTTGGAAAAAAATACACAGGGATAGCCAAAAAGCAAGAGAAAAGAAAAAAACCCTCTATTTTCTGATATGACACAGAGTTAGGATTCTCAGTTTTCCTGTTATAACACACTGTATCGCCACACCATAAAGGTCAATTCTGTTATAACACACTGCATTACCACACCATAAAGGTCAATTATGTTATTTATAACACATTGTATCTCCACACCATAAAGGTTAATGGTGTTATAACACATTGTATCGCCACACCATAAAGGTCAATTCTGGAGCCTCTGCTTCTTTTTCCTTTCAATTGTCAGGCTTGTAGTCTCTGATATTTGCCTGTGAAAGTTTCAGGCCACTCTGGACTGTGTCTTGGCAGGTTAAAAAGAACTCACCGCTAAGATTTGTTACGTATTTAAAAGCAGTTTACCAGTTGGTACGACTTGGAAGGAAAGTTAGGAACAAACGAGGGTGAATCTTGTTTAGAAAAAGCACGAGATTGACATGGCTGGGAATGTCTTTCCTGACTTAGTCATGCCGAGTGAAGCCTGGAGTCTGAAGTAGGTGTGCAGAGTTAACTGCTGTTTGCTTTGCTGGCTGTTAGGTTTGGTGAGTAAAAATGACAGAGGACAGCAGCAAAGGACATATGCCTACTTCAGGAGTGAGTCACAGTCACTTGTCAGTGTTCAGTTTGCTAATTAAGATGCTTTAGACATCCCTGAGGTTCAGCAGTTCCCTGTGATTGCCAATTATAATTCTGGGAAAAAACATTTATTTCATGTCTTCGTGTATGATCCTCATTTGTAAGATGGAGATGATCTGATAAAGTCCAATCGTATGAAGACTTTAGATATTATATGCTGACAGGTTCATGTGCATCTACTGGATAGTTTCAAGCTTGTGGCATTGTGAAAATGACATGACAGAATGCTTGCCACTACTTAGCCTACAGTAAGTGTTCAATAAATATTAGGTAGTTTTAAGTGAACTGCTTAACCATATTTCATATAATAATCAACATAAAAGTCATGCTTATTTGCAAACTCTCATAATAAATGTTAAGTCTGACCAATCTATTAAGGAAACAAATGATAAAGGGCAGATTAAAATTTCCCATTAACACACAGAGCAGTTATTTTTCATTCAAATGCAAAAGCACATGTGTCATTTGCTCATGGCTTTTTTATTTTCTGTTTCCATTAATACGTATACATATTTGCATTTGTGTGGGCACATGTGTGTGGGTGCATGTGCATGCATGTGTGGGTGTGTGTACACATGTGTATGCATACAGGTGGGGACCAAGGTTGGTGTCAGAATCATCGTCTACTGGGAATGACTGTCATTGGGTAGTAGCCTTGTCTTTGGGGGTGATGGGCATGTTTTAGGATTAATGGTAATCATTGTACAACCCATGAGCATAAAGGTGCACATGTTACAAAGGTGAATTTCTCAGTATGAGGTTGTGTCTCATGAAAGCAGTTGCCCCAGAACTGTGAGAGACATCTCATGCTCCAGATTCACCAAATAAAGCAACACTCAATTCTGTTCAGCATCTGTGATTGGAAATTCTTTTAAATTATTCAAAGAACTACATTGAATTACCAGAGGCAGCAAAGACAAGGAGGTGGGGGGGGGGAGGCAAAGACCTGATAAAAGGAAACAAAATCCAATGAGATTATCTAGGAAGTTGCCTCCATGGAGAACCCATGGAATCCCCACAGGGGGCCTTAGCAATTCAGAAACAACAAAACCAAAACTGAGACATTGGGAAGTTTATTTGCAGTTTGCTAGAACTCCTCCAACAGAGAGCTTTAGGCTTGTGATGAATGTGCCTTGTAATGAAGATGGCAGTGATGATGCTTAAATATTCTAGTACTCCCTGGGTTCAATCTTGCAAGCACTTTACAGCGCGGAGTGAGAACATTTATATTTAATTACAGAGACTGGTAAATAGACGCCCCATCCACCGTAATCACTACACAGTGCTGATGTTTTCTGACGGCCACTTTTTTTCATTTTCAGCTGGAGCAGCCTCCCCTCGGCGCAGGTTATACACTCTCTTCCACCTCCTTGATTTCGGAGGACACGACCTTGCCATCCACTACCTCCTCCACGACGGTCTTAATCTTCCTGGTTTTCTTGATATCTGTGTGTGTGTTAAACATCAGAGGTTGGTTCGGAACCATGGCTGTCCTGTTATACCTCTCAGCTTTCAATTATTGCTGTTTTTATTTATTTCCTTTTCCTAGAAGAGAAACCCTGAACCTATTCTTTTTCTTATACAGTCTTATGTTGGTTTATATATTTTAAAAAAGCACAGACAATATATCACTCTCCTCAAATTTATAAATTATCCCTCACTTTCTCACCTCAGATAGAAATAGACAATCTTGAGTGAAATTCACATTTTAGATGTACATCTCTTTTCCAGGATTGCTGCCTTTGCAATAGCACAGGCTAAGAAAATCGCCTTGTCACAGGGGGTGTGCCAAGATCCCCACTTAGATGGATTCCGTTAGGTACAAGCTTTTCAGAACCCTGATGTCTTGGGGCTGCTGAGATAGCTCAGTTGGTAAAGCGCTTACTAAAACAGTGTGGGGATCTGAGTTCTGGTCGTGAAACCCACTTTTTATTTATTTTAAAGCAAACTGGATGTGATGGCATGCATGAAGCTGTCCTCTGACTTCATATGTGCAGTATGGCATGGGCATATGCAAACACACACACACACACACACGGGGCACACATGCATGCACACATATAATACACACAAGCATGTATGGGCGCACATACATGCAGAGACCCACTAAATAAATAATAAGTAAATAAACAGACAGGTAAATAAATAGAAACCTGGTTCTTTTGAGGACCTTTGACTATTCCTCAGCGGCAGACAGTTGCCAGAGGGTTGCTGAGATTCCTGCATATGGGATAAGTGCACATGTGTAGAACACTTACCCCTAGATTCCAGAGTGCTCAGCTGGTACTCTGTAGTCCTGTGTAGTCATTTTTTTTAAAGCAAAAAGAAAAGAAAGAAAGAGGAAGTAAGCATTATCCCCATGTCAAAGCCGGGAAGCTTCCCTCCTCATCCTTTTGCTTTCAGAAGTCTGGGTTGCTGGGCAGCTAAATGTTATTTTCCTATTTCTGTCCCCTGGACCATGCTTATTCCACCCTGGAGTGCTCTACTTTTTAACATGAAAAGCACCTAGTATCAAACCGACCTACTTGTCCTCTTTTGGAAATTTCTATAGTGAAGAATAAAGTTAAGATGGAGGTTCAAATCTGTGTTCTCCTCGTGTCCATGGGTTTATCCTTGCAGGCGGCTGCTCCAATCCTGCTCATTTACAGACCACCTCCCACGGGCCTCCGTGGCCTCTGGTTTAACTCATGAGCAGTCAGCAAGGATTTTCAAAGGGATATTATGCATTCAATTATACACTCAACACAAGATTTAATATATAAGAATTAATCACTCAGAGAACCATCTTCTGACTCGGGTCTGCCCCAAGACCTTGTTTAAAGGCTATTGATAGTTGGGTGTTTTATACTCTGGTATATTTTCATCTCTCAGTGTTAAATTGCCTTTGTGCTGGGGATTGCCTTGAGAAAGGGAGCTGCAAACAATCAGGGGCACATATCCCGAGGTGCTTACATTACATCTTCTCCTTCCAGAAGGCGGCGGTAGGTAGCGATCTCCTGCTCAAGCCGGGTTTTTATGTCCAGGAGGATATTGTGCTCTTGGTTCTGGCGTTCGGTGTCACTCCGGATCTGCATCAGTTGGGCCTCCAGGGAGCTTAGCATTCCCTGGATGGCTGCCAGCTGGCTGGCGTAACGAGCCTTGGTTTCCTCCAGGGTGCGCTCCAGAGACTCTTTCTGAGAGTGACAGACAAGGAGGGTGTAATTGTTGTCTTTGGGAAGAATTTTTGCAGCCTTTGAGCCCTACATGTTTTTCTAGCTCTTTCGTTCTTCCCATCTAGACAGACCCAGCCAGCCAGCTATGCCTGCCATCTTGTGAATTTTTGTTTCTTTTGTTAGAGCTTTGGGCCTACTGTTTTCCTCAGGGTGATACACTGTGCCTCATGGTCAACATTTACTTCCTTGCCCTGGGAAGAGGCCATGCCTTTGGCAGGCCTGGCTATATGATTCTTGGTGTCAGTGGAGGACTCGATCCCTCAAAGCTTGGGGGCCAGGACTGATCATGTCATTCTTTGGCTGATGAAATGCAGGCAAAATTGAGAAGGTTTTATTTCCCCCTTGAGAATCAACTCTAAGAGCTGCCCCACAGTTCAGCTACGTCTCTCTTCTTTCCACTACACTGACATGATCCAGACTAGTATGTTCCTTTATCCCTGACCCCAGAAGCAGAATGCCATAGAGTCAACTTGGTAGTTTTGTTGGCATAGCTTGCTGTAGGCTGGTGTTTGCTTATCCTGCAATGTCCCTACTCTTTTCCTAACTTAAAGCTCACCTTTGATTTAAGATCTAGGATAAATGTGACTTCCCCTGTGGAATGTTCAAGATCTACTCTTTCCTCTGTATTTGTACAGTTCATTGCCCTCACCTTGGTTTCTTTGTGTGTTGTAGTTATTATTAGCTGTTGGGCCTGTTTCCTTGTTGGCTTTGCAAGGGGAAAGGTTACTTCTTACAGGGTCTGTGCTTCCAGAGTTCTAACACAGGCCCCCATCAGCACAGACTAGATGGAGCAGGGGAGGCCAGAGGGGCTCACCATGCTGATGTGAGACTGGAGTTCTATCTCCAGGTTCTGGTAGGTACGTCTCAGTTCCGTGACTTGGATCTCGGTTCCTTTCAGCTCCTCCGTGTTCACAGTGACTTGCTGCTGCAGAGCTTCACTCTAAAATTCCAAGAATTAAGAAAAATGAGCAAGGAAAGAGGATGGAAGAAAGGAAGGCAAGAAAAGGAGGGGGAGAAGAAAGACAGAAGGACGGAAAAGGAGAAAGAAAACATTGGTTCTCTCCCGTAGAACGATGCTGCACATCTGTTCGCATTCTAGAATTACCTGTCTCTCAAACTGCTCTTTGGCCTCTTGTAGGTTCTTCTGGGCCAAGATTTCATATTTCTGTCTCATCTCATTCATGATCTCTCCCAGGTTCAGGCCCGGAGCAGCGTCCACCTCCACATTGACATTGTTACCCAGCTGCCGGCGAAGGACATCAACTTCCTAGGAGAGTGACATTCTGATTGAGTTTAGTCTGAAACATATTCTCAGATCAGGCTGGGAGGAAAAGACATCATAAATCTTGGGACTTCTTTTATTTGGCACGAATAAAGATGAAAGGAAACAGGAAGCAGGCTTCCTGTGGTCCGAGCACCACTTTTCGTTTTTTAACTGAGAGAAACCTCATGCCAAGAAGTTAGGGCTGCTGTCGTGACTGACATTGTGTTCATCACCGTGAGCAGCACCGCTGTCACCGTAACCTCTCCTTCCTGTTTCTCCTCCTCTCATTTTTATTCTTTTACTCTCGGAGCTGTCTCATCATTCCCTAAACATTTCCTGCATAGCTCTTACCTCCTGATGCTCCTTTTTGAGGAGGGCCAGGTCCTTGCTCAGTTCTTCAATCTGAACTTCCAAGTCTGCCTTTTGGAGGGTCAGATCATCAAAAACCTTGCTCAAGCCTTGGAGATCAGCTTCCACAGTTATGCGCATCCCCCTCTCAGTCTCAAACCTGGGAATGAATTAAGATGCAAATATAACAGTCCTCCTAGAGCCATTATAGAGGAGATGATTTAATGTAAGATAGACCAACTCCTGTACTTTTTAACAGTCCCCTTCACATATTTGTGAAAAATTAATAAGAACCTGGGAACCAGATCACTCATTCTGTAGTATAATCTGTCACTGGGCCTGGAGAGATGGCTCAGTTGCTAAGGGCACTTGCAGAGGTCCCTCGTTCAATTCCTAGCACCCATATGGTGGTTCATAACCATCTGTAACTCCAGTTCCAGGGTATACATGCAGGCAAATGTCCATTCACATAAGACTATCTATATTTATATCTATATATTTCTGTTCACTTGCAGTCTGATGTAACTTTTGAAAAGTTTATAAATGCAGGAGCTAGGGAAATAGTTGGGTGGTAGAGTGTTTGCATATAAGGTCCTAGGCTTGATCCCCAGCGCTGCAAAAACAACAGGAAGCAAAGCTAAAAGCCCAAAACAAACCCCTTCCAAAAAGTTAAAAAAAAATCAAACAAACAACCCCCTCAAACACTCCAGAAACTAACAACACAGACATAAATTTTACAGGGTGAACTTATTTTTATTATTTTGTTAAACAGATGCATACAATGTGAGTCATCTTAGTCATCTCTTTTCCTCTACAGTCTTCTAGCAAAGACACAAATCAAATCACCAAAGCAAGCCGAGTGATAACGCAGCAGGACGGCTGCTGACCGAGTGGGACTGGGCTTCACGAATCTAACTGTTTCACCTTCAGGTCTACCTTTTGATCTCCGTCTTCCTCATCTCTGCTAGCATCAAAACCTGTCCTTCTAAAATGCGGTGCTGTTAGTGTGGACACGCCCTACAGACTGGGGCCTGGAAGCCCTACCGCTCAGCAGTTTGGAAGGAATGTGATCACGTGAGTGTGTCTAAGAAGGTGAACAGAATTACAAGGGTATTAATCATTGGCTGGATCTGGGTCTTGGGTTGGCTGGATGAGATGGTAAAACGCTAGCCCACTGGGAGGTACAGGAGTCATCCATGGAATCTGGCTGTGTGATATGGCGGCCACATGGCTCCATGGGATGATTCTGTGGAGGGTCACCCAGTGGAGACGTGTGGTTCTCACGTCACAGAATGACGTGTGTTCAGAAATGGAGTTCTGGGTTGCTTTGTTATTACTCAGAATGATAGAATTAGGTTAAGTGGGTGAAGAGGCAAAAGTTCAGAAACAATAGTGGGTAAACAAATTTTAGCATCCTGGGAATGATGTCTGTCTCTGAGTTCTGGGCAGGATCACATAGCTTTTAACAGCCCTTAATCCCTAAGATTCTGATATAATGTAATAGAAGTTTCTTAGCTCACAATAATATGCACATCCAAAGTGTGATGAAAGGCTGCTAAATGGAATTATTTTTCAGGACCAATGAGATGGTCCAGCAGGCAGAGGCACCTACTGTCCACCTGACATCTGGAATTTTATCCAGATGTGATGGAATGAGACATCTGCAAATGTCCTCTGACCTCCACATCTCTCTGCCCCTCTCCTATCCCTTTCCCGCTCTCTCCCCCCTCCTCACATACATATATACATGCTAAATAAATGAGAATAAAACTACTAAAAGGATTTATTTTTCAGAAAAATTTACCACAGTGCTGGGTACAGTAGCAAACATCTGTAATTCTGAATAAGGAGGATGCTGATTTTGGGGCCAGCTTGGACTGCGTAGCAAAACCCCATCTCAAAAATAAAAACCAAAAAACAAGACAACCAACCAACCAACACACACACACACAGACACACAGACACACACACACACACACACACCTATATATTCACTGTGATTTAGAGAACCTACTTCAGTCTGAAGTCCTCTGCAGCCAGTTTAGCATTGTCAATTTGCAGGACACATCGGGCATTTTGTATTTGAGCATCCTTAATCTGGAAAGCATAAGAGAGAGAAAGAATGGCATTTTCATCAGGGCCAGAGTTTAAAACGATTTTATTTTTCCTCAGAGACAACTGTAATTACATGGGAAGTGATGTCCATTTCCAGGATGTGAGAATAAGTAAGCGCAGCAGTGACACAAGTATTTATTAATGCAGTGACACAGGTATTAATGCCATGGAGTTAAAACAGGACTCTTGGTCTGACCCATGAAAGTTGCGCTTCATATCACTGAACATTATTAAGTGTCATGCCTGGAACATCGTTGTTAGTCCTTCTCACCTAGTGAGCTCAAGGGGGCCTTCAGTGATATCCTCCAGTGCTAGCAGTGAACCTGTTTCTGTACAGCCTTCCTGGGTTTACCTGAGTGACAGTTGCTTTGGTCCATGCCCTTTATTTACGCACACATTCTTCTATGTGTGATGCTCAGTACCCAGCTAGTGTCCATGAGATAGTTGGTGAATGAGAACTTGCCATTTGGTAGGCATTAGGCACTAGAATGAAAGGATGGACACACCCTGGATCTCTGTCTGTCTGTCTGTCTGTATATCTTTCTCTCTTTCTCTTTGTGTGTGTGTGTGTGTGCGCACGCGCTCATATGTACAGGTGTATACATGTGGAGGTCAGAGGACAATCTTGCATGCTATTCCTTAGGTGCTGTCCACATTTTTTAGGGGAGGGGCAGGGTCTCTCATCGCCTCTCATCAAGTAGGTCAGGCTGGCTGACCAGCAAGCCCCAGGGATCTGCTTGTCCCCACTTCTCCAACATTGGGATAACAAGAACACACCATCATTCTCCAATTTTTTTTAACCTGGGTTTGGGTGACCGAACTCAGGTTCTTGTGCTTGCAAGACAAGCACTGTATTCTTTAGGATGCATGCAGACTAGAAGTCTACTTCTAGAAGACACGAGAATGACACTTCTCTTTCAGTGGCTATTCCTGGAGAGAGGTCCCTAGAGAGGCTTTCAGCTAGAAGGCACTAATGGCTGCTCCGAGGTATTATGGGTAATCCTGAGTCAATTCAGAAGCCCCAACCCTGAGAGGGGTGCTAGTGAACAATACTTTTTAATGTGTTTCAGCAAAAGCCTGCAGGAACGCCCTGTTGAGGCTGATGTAATCACCTTAGCTTCCTGAGCCGATTGTTTCTGTGAATTTGAATCAGGTTGCACTGGTACCTATAACACAGCTCCAGAAAAGAGGCCTATGGGAAGTCAATGGCCTTTGCTCTAAAGGGTAATCATTTTAAATATAAGCAAAACAGAAAGGGACACTTTCCTTGATTAGATAAGAATGCTGCAGCAAAGCAAATGGTGTTCTGTGCTTGACCTCGCCAGCCAGGAGCAAAGTCTCCCATTTCTACTCCACTGGGTTTGTAAAGAGAGGGAGAGAGAACCCCACCTGTCTTGGATGACACACAGGAACAGATTGTGATGTGACTGTAATAAATTTGAATTGGGGGCAATAGAATATTTTATTATTGCTGAAGTGCTTTATAAAATGCTTGATGATGGTCAGCAGATAATTAAACAGGGCATTAAAAAATCCACTTAGCAAAACTGTGCCTGGTGGCTAATCCCAGTACTGAGGAGGTAGAGGCAGGAGAGAGGAGCGGTCCAGACTAGCCTGGGACATACCAAAGGCTGTTCCTTCCATCCACCCCGCCACCCACCATCCAGCCATCTGTCAGTCATACAGACACTATTAATGTCTGTAGTCTGTCTCCACTCTGAACCATTTTATTACTTATACCCATAACAGGATGACACTTGAATTGTAACATTTATATGAATGAAAAGAGAAAAATCTCTTTAAATTGATCTGAGTCTTCAAAGTTGGTGAAGACTAGTGGGAAACTCACACAGAAACCCTTGGAGTTCTTTTAAAAAAGTAAGATTACTTTCCATGAAGACCTGGTATTGTAAGCCACCACAAAGACACAGACTGTAATTTTGGATGATAAGATTATCACATTTTATATGTAATTAGGTGGGTTAAGCTCATCCTGTTTACACTAATGCTACGTGATAAAACACATTTTTTCACATTTTCCAGTTATAAAATTCAACCTAATTTGCTTCATGTGTTTGAATTCACCTAGCATTCACTCACTCCCTTAATCTAGTATACTACTAAACAGTAATGTAGAAAACACAGGTCTCATGACTTACCTGATTTTGCAGCTCTTTGATTTGCGTGTAGTAGGGGCTGTAGTCCCGGACGGTGCTAGGCGCGTTGGTTTCATACCACTGCTTGATCTGGAATTCAAGTCTGGAGTTGGATTGCTCCAGGGACCGCACTTTTTCTAGGTAGCTTGCCAATCGGTCATTGAGGTTCTGCATTGCCAGTTTCTCATTGCCAGCAAACAGGTCCCCTCCGCTGGAGAGATCACTCGCATAGCTCACTACAGATTTGGAGACAGAGATGCGAGTGCCGTGGCCTCCGGCCCCACCATAGACGCTGGGTGCAGCCACCAGGCGATGCGCGCCCCCCTTCCTGTACACGGAGCTACTCATGCTAAGTGCTGGGCCTTGTGAGGAGGAACTCAGACTTCTGTGAAAGCTTCGACGGCTGAAATCCATCTGGGATCCTGGGAGGCAACACCTGTAGCCTGGAGTTGGAGCACAGCCTGTCTGTCTCCTGGTGCTGGAGAGCTGACCTTTTATAGAGTTCAGGAGAGACACTCCTCCTCTGCTGCCATGTCACCTCAGGAATGACACAGTTCACTTTGCCAACCCCCCTCTTTTGTACAGCAATATGTTTCATCGTATCCCAGAAATGACCACTAGAGGCACTTCTTGAAGGTTTTCTGGTGTGTGTGAGTGTATGTGGGGTGGTGGTGGTGATTTCTTTGTAATGAACACAGGTATCCAAAAGAGTGAGGAAGGGGGGTTCTTTCAGGTCTTGCACCTGCCCTGGCAGGTTTTTTTCACCTCACCCCGTATACAAATAAAGAATATTTACAATCTATATGAATAATTTAGGCCTTGAACAAGACAGCTGTGGGAACACAATGGTGAGAACAGACAATGGGGAGAACAGATGAATTACTTTTCAGAACCTCTGTGTTATGCTCTGCTTTTTATTTTTATTTTTAGATTTGCTTTTAAATTTATCCTTGTTTAGAGCTTATAGTTTTCAGCCTGTTGAAATACCTTGTATGAGGCTGGGTGTCCTGGGGCACACCTGTGGTTCTAGCACTGGGAAACAGAGACAGGAGGATTACTGCAAGTTTGACACCAGCCTGGCACATGAGCGCGTGAGTATACACATACACACACAGAGTTTGAGAACTGAATATGGTGAATATGTATATGAGTATAGGTGTTGATTTTGGAGTTAAAAATATTCTCAATAATAGACTTAGGAAATTTCATATAAGTAGGCAATGTATCTTGATAACATCTGCCCTGACTTTGCCCCACAAGTTCCCCAACACATTTCCCATCCAACTTTATGCTCCCTTCTCTTTTTAAAAATAACCCATGAGTCTAATTAGTGCTGCCTGTGCACTTATAGCTGTACTGGGGTGTGGAGGTGGCCACACCTCCAAAGAAAATCCAACCCTCTTGTTGGTTCCCAGCAACTCTCAGCTTCCAGGAACTCCTAGGCTAGGTCAGGAGCCTCCTGAGCCCCTCCTGAGTGTTTTCTTTTTCTTTTCTTAAAGCAAAAACAAAAACGAAAAAAAAAACTCTATTATGAAAACCCTGCAAATATTTTTTAAATACTTGTGTCTAATGGTTGAAAAATGTTTTTAAAAATTTAAATCACCGAGAAAGCAGTTTTTATACCTGCCTCCTGTTTGAGGCCAGCTAGACATCACCATGAGATGCTCTCTGCTTCTACCATCCTGACTCTGTTGGAACTGCCTCCAGGATCCCAACAGCAGAAGCTCACTCCTCATTGCAGATTCCTACATTCAGTGGTTCCCTGAGAAGGAAGGTTGCAGGTGGCCACAGGGACTCACACCCAGCTTCCCAGAGGCTACTGACACAAGAGGGAAATTGTTAGGAACCTTGGCCACTCGATCTATTGGTTTAACTTGAAACATTCCTTCCAGAGCCCGAACCTGTTTCTGTGCAGGAGGATTTGCAGCTTCCTCCAAGCACACAGATAACTAATGGTGGGCACCATCACACCAGCAGGTAACTGATGGTGAACACCCACTGGGTGTTGAGGAAAGAGTTTCCTTACAGAATCCTTCTCATTCAGACTCCTTACTGAAAATACCTCCTCCTTGGAAGCATTTATGCCACTTCTTTAAATCAAATTAATTAGAAGGGATTGGGAAAGTCACAGAAAACACACCTATTCCCATCTTAACGCTTACAAGATTGGAGATTCAAGTATGATTAAAGCAAGTGTGCATGCACGCCCCCCCCCACACAGGGAAACACATTTGCAATCTGCTTATGTTACTTTTCTTAATAATGTTCTTCTAAATTACAGTCAGATGGTATTGTTTCTGTCTTTTAGATAACATACCTTCAAGTTACAAATTGCTTATAGATTATCTCAGTTATAAGTTTTATAAAGTAAAAGCTATACAAAATTAAAAACGGACCAAGTTAGCCCTGCTTCAGGGACTGTATGGCATATGTACAGTATACGGTATATGGTAGCTGGTGTATTGTTCCCTACTCACATGTCCGTCAGCTAATCTTCCCCAAGTGTTCACTATCAATGGCTGAACATGCAGCAAGCAGCTCTCGGTGTTTGTTAGGGTCATAAATCAATTTATTAATAGATGTCACAGCTGAAATTGGCAGTTATTAAGCTTTTAGAGACAGAGACTGTGTGTGTGTGTGTGTGTGTGTGTGTGTGTTTGTAAATAAATGTAGTACTTGGTGTTGATTAGTGGGGTAGGAGAGAAAGTTGTTTGATTAAAGCCATTGGAAAAATTACATCATTGAAATTGTACAGAATTTGAGGTGAGTCTTCATTGAGTGTCATGCACCAGAGCATACACTGAAGATGTTTAAAAGCACCGCTTAACTCCATAGTTAGTGCTAAGTGTGGGTCTGAGGTGTCTTCCAAGGGCCCTGAAGACTTGGTCTCTGGTCTGAGGTGCTGCTGGGAGGCGGTGGAACCGTAGAGGAGGAAGGAGGGCGTGTCACCGAGGTATGCTTTTGGAAGGGGTGTTTGGCTTCTGCTCTTTCTGTCTCTCTTTACTTCCTGGCTGCCACGCTGAGAATGGTGACTCTGAAGCACCTGCCGTGACGCACCGTGTCATGGCAAACCCAAACAACTGGTGCCAGCTGACTTTGGACGAAAACCTGAACTAAGATAAAAGTGTTCTCTGCATCATTTACCTCAGGCGTTTGTCACAGCAGCAGAAGGCTGATTAACACAGCTTTGTCATAGGAAGGAGTATAAACAGTTGTCAAACATGATAATTTGTATTGTCTTCTTCAGCATAATCATTACTTGTGGTTGGACTGAGTTACATTTAAGTCAGACTTAGAAAGCTCATTTTTAGTTATCTGAAGAAAAAACTTCATGCACTATCCCACCCATTATTGTATAATATTTATAGATTTTTGATGTTTTAGATTTGGACTAAAATCTGATACTAGAAGGCAATAATGCTGATGTTCCACTAGTCTGCTTGAGTAGAAGCATTCCGATTGGAGCCTCTATCTGTTTCTAGCACTTTGTATAGAATTCTGGGTCCTTAATGTATCATTGATATTTACCCTTTGGCAGATTATTCTAGTTTATAAAATGATTACAGGAAATCAAGCTACTGTTTCATAGGAATTCATTTTTTCAACAATATCAGAGTCTGAATGAGACCTTATTGCCCCTTATTCATACATATAGGCACAAATTTAAAGTCCTTGCTATTCCAGGCTGTTTGGTGACTGCATCTGCACATAGATATTGGATTACAACTTCCTGCATGTAATTGAGATGCATTTTGACCTCAGTGACAACTGAACCGAGTGTTAATGATTAGCGTTAAGTTTGGGCAGTGGTTTGGGGCACTATTACAGCTCTCAGAGGACTTTCTACTTTCGTTTTTCTATAGCAAGGACAAGCTATCTCAGCTCAGATATGGAGACATAGATTGTGCAGGTTCTAGAGAGGTTTCCTTCTGGGGACCAGGACATGGGGGAGCGAGAAGAGATGAAGAACTTTGACTGTAGATTCTTCCTGGAAGCTGGGAAATGAGTGGGGGGTTCAATGAAGTGAATCTAAACTACTAGGGTTGCCTTTTACAGCATTGATCCAGCACCCCCAGCTTATGGCTTCATCTTACTTGGCGCTTCTGCTCAGCTATAACTTGAGGACTTGATGGATCTGTTATCTCGGTGGCTGTGGGATTATCAGAGTGAGAATATAATATACAGCCATGAGTCACCTAACAACAGAGCTGTGTTATGAGAAGTATGCTGTTAGGTGATTTCCTTGTTGTTTGAATATTAGGGAGTGTAATTACATAAACCTAGATGCTCTCGCATGCTACGCACCAAGGCTTTATGGCACACAGCACAAATGGTAGACACACAACTCACACTCTCGTGTACACACACACATACACATGCCCACACACATATGCACATGCACACATGCACACATGCATACACACACACACACACACAAACAAACATGCGTCCGTGCGCACACACTGTTTTTGCTATTGTCTGAGTTTACTTTTTATTGCTGTGATAAATACCATGACTACAAGCAATTTTGGGGAGGTCACTAGTTGACATATCTGTCCTGAGCACAGCCGGTGACAGAAGTCAGGGCAGGGACTCAAGCAGGAGCAGAGGCAGGGCCCATGGAGGAATGCTGTTTACTGGCTTGCTCCTCATGGCTAGCTCAGCTTGCTTTTTTATACAATGCACTTCCACCTATCTAGGGATAGCACCTATCTAGGGATAGCACCATCTCCAACAGGCTGGGCCCTCCTACGTCAGTCAAATACATATGTACACATGTGTATGTATGTTGCTAAAATTCTGTGAGCAATGTTCATCCATTTTCCTAAGGTGCCAGCAACAAACCCAGGCTTCCATAAAGAGCGTGGGGAGGGGTTACTCACAAGGGTGTGGGTGCTCCTCTTCCTAACGGGCCACACTTGAAAAGCCTTTACCCAGCAGGGATAATGGCTTCCCCATCATTTCATAGGTGGAATCCCCCCTCTTCCATAGTCTTCCCCGGCTTAAAAATTCTAGCCCCTCTCAAGGCCGTGAGCAAATTATAAGGCAGAGTGGTAGAAAGTGGCTGGATACTCAGGCGAGGGTCTTACAGTCCTCTCCACCCCTACTTGAGGGGATGCAAATAGTCAAGAAGCCCAGCTGGAATAATAATGCTTTTATAAGCGGGAATTGCTTAACTCTCCAGGATGGCATTTGATTGGCTGGGATGACAGTCATTTGCAACAATGCACACATGCACCTTTGTTTATGGAAATGTTGTGTGGAAGATGACTATATTCATATTAAAACATTTTACTTATTTATTAGTATGTTTTCTTTTTGAGGCAAGGTCTTTTTATGTTAGCCTGGGCTGGCTTGGATGGAATTCACTATGTTGACAAAAATGAGAATTTTGTAGAATTTTATTTAATTTTTTTTTTTGGTTTTTCGAGACAGGATTTCTTGGTATTGCTTTGGAGCCTGCCCTGGGACTCACTTT